GATTGAATTTTATGTATATATTTTTATTTGTGTTAAAAAAATATCATATTACAAGTTTTAGTTGTTCAATACAAATTATTTTTCATTGATCTCTACAAGAACATGAAGATTTTTAGTGTTAATTTTACCAATACGATCTTTAATTTCATATAGCTTCAACAATTCATAACCAAACTAGAGAGAGAAAAGAATATACCGATATAATTCCTAGCCAAATTCTTGGATACCGGTTACACAAAATTTCATTCGACAACAAGTATACGATCTTTAATTCTATTTTTTTTGGAAAGCGTACTTTGCAATTGCTCTTTATTGTCCACCTCTTTTGTTTCATATGTTTGTGTCAAAAGTTATTGCAACTCATGCTATAAAAAAAAAAAAAAATGAAGATTCAAAAAGGGTAGGTCGTAGACTTGTTAGGAGTCTGTATGAGATTTTTTTATATGGTTTCTATTTGTAGATTTTTAAGCAATTGTAGTCGTACTTATGAGAGATTGAATTCTATGTATATATTTTTATTTATGTTAAAAAATATCATGTTACAATTGCAAAGTTAAAATTATCATATATACAGACTTTAATATGTTCAAGTAATAGTACTTATCAAACAATTTTATTATATTCAAGCATTTAATTTTTAGTAAATATTAAACGACTTGTCAACAACATATTTAGTACTTAATTATTCAGCACTTAAAATTTAATACTTAATTTTTAGTGTTATCAAATACCACCTAAATAATTAGTTTTTAAAATGAAATGATTTATTAATTTATTTTTTAAAATGAGAGGGACTAATTTATAATTTACTCAATGTTTTTAACATGCAAACATGATTTTTGTTTTTGTTTTTTAACAATATGAAAACAAACGAACTCAGAACTCAAAACTTAAAAAAAAAAAAAAAAATCCAAACCATTTCACGTTGACAACCAGAATTATCGATGGCAAGGAGCCCAAGGTTACCAAAAAAGGGCAACAATAGGGAACCAACTTCTAGTGGACCTTGTCACTGGTAATTCTACTTTAGAGAAAAGACAATTTGGCTCACACTTGTTTTTTTTTTTTTTTTCCATTTTGGTTTGCTTTGGTCACATTTGAAATCCATCAAGGAACAAATAATGAACAAGTAAAATGTAAAAAAATAAGAAATTAATAAAGGAAGATGAAAGAAAATGAAAAATGCACGTCTTCTAGAGAGAGAATGAAAGAAGGTAGTTATAATTAAAACGAGTCACTTCTAAATGAGATGGCCACATACAGCCTACTGTAGCAATGAATAAAAATAAGCAGAAAAGACAGGGAGCGAGTGAAATAACAAATAGAAAGGAAGGAAACCAAAGAATTTATCTGGTTGAAACCTAACTGAGCCAAGGTAAAATCAATCGATCAAGAACTGACATTTTTTAGCAAACAATGATCCCTTGGACCCTTACTAGGGAAAGCCTCCTGCAACAAAGGATGCGACAGTAGCAAAGAACGGAAACTAAGACAAACATTGTCTAAGAACAAACTAGATACAAGCGAAACCAATTGAAAGAGGATGGGACAGAAGTAAAACACAACTAAATCTGCATTGAGAGAGAACGTCAAAGATAAAAAAATCCAGTTAATCCAAAAGCCAAGGGAACATCGATCCAACATTGGCCCCCTAGTTACCCCTAACAAGCGATGCAAGAGAAGCAAAATCCAAAAGAAAATAAAAAAAAAAAACAAAAAAACACCGAAACGACCAAACACACAAACGAAGTTAAAGATAGAAAAAGCCACAAAAGGCAGACGCATGGTAACGATGGAGGTTGATCCACAACGCTGGCGAGTCTCATTGAATAGTAAATCCACATTAGCATTGAGTTTACAGAAATAACGAACCAACAGAAGCAGGTCCAACTCTTTTCGTTTTTTTTTTTTAATGATATTTAGATGTTCAATTCCAATTTAATTAATTTGCTTTTTTTTTTTTTTAACAATTCAACTCAATCTTTCAATATTTAATTTCTATCGAAATGAGAATTGACTAAAAGCGTCGAAATCTTCTAACTATTTGCACATTCGAATTAGCTATGTTTCATGAGTGGAAACATCCGCCCCTTTTTAACATTTCCATTCTGTTGCGAAATAGTTCGACGCAGTTTTGCATATCGTAATGAAAAATTCGGTGCCTCTATTTATACAAGTACTTAAATCAAGTGTCTTTACTTCTCATTTTTCTATTTGAGTACTTATACCTTTTTTTCAGTTAATTGTCTCTAATTTATTTTTTCTATGTGTTAGAATCTATTATATTGTTGATGAAACGGACACATGTCATTCTTATGATGGAACATACTATTCATAAATAAACAAAAAAGTAATCAATTTTTTTTTTTTTAAGAAAAAAAATGAAGATGTAAATCTTGTACGAGGAGGAAAATTTCCTGCCACTTCTTCCTTTTAAAGGTTATGAACATCGTGTGTTTTACGGATAAAGGGATGCTTCCAAGGGCAGTGCAATAGTTGTAACAGAAGTAAAAAACTACACAAGCAAGATACATGTGGAATTTTCATATGTCACCATTTGTTCTTAGTGCAGGCTTCTACTTTGTATCAACCAAACATGAGCCCACTGATTTTCAAGACATGGAGAGGTCATCATGGATCACACTATGAAAATTTAACAGACTGTGAGGTAGGTCGGCCTTAAGAGCCCACAAATTTAAGAAGTAATAGAAGCAGCTGGGGACTTTCCTTTCCTCAACAACTTGAACTTCTTATGGAGGTTGGCCCATTTAAAAAATGCTCATGAATGGGTCGATTTTAGATTGGTGATTGGTGGTTGGGATGCCCACTTCAAAAGTTATTATTCTGCATCCTAGTTTCATAGGTAAACACACTAGAACAGTAAGCAAACCAAGTGCAAAAACAAATCACCATATCATTGCAGGTAGGGCAATCCATTGGATGTTGATTCCAATGCGATCTAAATTCGTTGTAATTAGAAAATTTTGATATATAATTTTTATGATATGATTTCAATTATAAAATTAATTCATTAACCTGTTTATTTACTGGATCAAATATAGATTTATCTCATTCTGGTTTGATCAATTCAAAATTAATATAAATCTTATTTCTAATAAATATAATATTTTGAAAACATTAAAAATAAAATAAATGTGACAATTGGTTTAGATTTAGGATTTATTTACTCTATATGCTGAGAAACGTTTTATATTTTTGTATTTTTTTCCCTCTATATTGATGGTTATTCTTTCAAACAATTACATGATAAGTTTTTTTCAAGTTGTTGCTAGTATTATATTTGTATTTCTAATTTATAAATTCTTGATTCAATCTGAATTTTTGTTCATTTCAAACTTATTATTAGTAAAACACTAGGATTTTCTTTCTTATCCATAAAGTTGTGCCAAGAATAGTCATTTTTATAGTTTCTTTTTTCTAACTTTGTTGGACTTACTGTCTAATTTAAATTAATTTGGATCTTTAATATAATTTTATTTTGTTTTTTTAATGACCAGAGGTTGGAATTTTTTTTAAATTACATATTAAATATTTTTATATTTTTATACATACAATAGTTGAAATTTATTTTACGTGAAAGCACGATTTTGAACGTAACCAATATTTTTTTTGGAGAAAATTAAATGATAAATCTAGAAGATGTTAGTGAAATAAGGAAATTACTGTATCAACCCTAATAAATAAATAAATAAATAAGAAACAGGAAGATGTTAGTGAAATAAGGTGTGCCAAAATTTATAATTGCAAGTAAATTGTGGATAACTTCTTAAACTGGAACAGTTAAGAAGCACAAACTATACAACTCTTTCCCCACCCATTTGGAGAATTCTTTATTTCAATTCTCACAAACTTTTCAATCAACCTATAAGCTTGAACTAAAAGTCTAAAACCAGAAAACCAACCATATTTAAAGCTGCTTTAATGGAAGATTATTGATCCATGCAAAAAACATTTCTACTATAAACATCATGTTCTTTGCGTTTCCTTAGCTTTATGCAAGACCAATAAAGAGTCAGCCTAAGAGGAGTCTTATGTTGCAGGTTTTAGTCCTGATCCCACGCAGGAGAGCTGCTATCAAGAAAATGAAACACTTATTTGAGGATATAACATCTGCTGAGACTGCAGTACCACCTGCATCATCTAGTAGTTCATCTACGCATGATCAAGAGATGGGTTCGAATGCAATGTCAATGAATTGGCATGTCTCGATTAAAAACTCTACTTTCTTCTCCTTTCTGCAAGGCAAGGATCTCAATCCTGCTCGCATGGTAAGCAATCCAAGTCTCCTTGATATGCATGACCCTAGCTAGCTAGTATGATATATTTATCTTCTCTTCAGTGACGATTGGTTTTGTCCTTAATAATATATACTACTTGCATCATGCATACTGCCATTGATTCCTGCCAATTAAATTCCAAAATCGTTTAAAATCATATTGCTGTATAGACTCGCTCTCGGCTGTAGGACATTCTGTCTCAGTGGAGATACTAACAATGTATACTGCAATAGAAGCATGAAGGGTGAAACTAGCTGTAAGAAAAGCTGGTAACTGATAACTTTCAGATTTAGCAATTGCTTGAGTACAACTACAATATTAGTACTCCTCTCTTTCTATTAAATCAGAACAACTTTAATGGTTAGAAATGAGACCACAAGAGGTTATTAAGAATACAGTAGATCTGAACATATCCATCCTTACATTGTTCTATCAGCAACATTCTAATGTAACAGCTTGAAACAGTTGATTATGCTATTATAAATCGTAAGTCCAAGTTCAAGCACCCAAAATGTCAGTCAAAACATTGTCAACGATAAAATATAAGTCCATTTGCTCTTCAGATTTGATTAAAAACTCGTCTTCCTTGAAGTTTTCTATGACTACCTTAATTTAATCTGCTGACCTAACCTGCATTCCGACTGTTTTGCTGTAATCTTAAACGTGTAACTAAGCTCCATTGATCTGCAGGTTTTAGCAGAGATGGTAGGAACCTTTCTTTTACTGTATTGTGTATGTGGGATTATAGCAAGCACGCAGATATTGAGAGGAGAGGTGGGTCTAACGGAATATGCATCTGCAGCAGGATTAGCAATCATCGTTGTGATTTTCTCCATAGGATCAGTCTCTGGTGCTCATGTTAATCCAGCTGTTACCATTGCCTTTGCAACTTTTGGTCATTTTCCATGGTCCAGGGTAACAAAATTATCCGAATTCTATCTATGAATAAGATTTTTAAAAAATATATATATGTGTGTGTGTGTGTGTGCGCGCGCGCCAATATTAATTGGTTTAATATTCCAGGTTCCATTTTACATATTGGCTCAAACAGTAGGTTCAGTATTGGCAACATACGTTGGAAGCTCTGTCTACGGCATAAAAACAGATCTTATGGCCACACGGCCAACTCTAGGCTGCAGTTCTGCCTTCTGGGTGGAATTTATGGCGACTTTCATGCTCATGTTCCTTGCAGCCTCGTTAATGAACCAATCTCCATCCGTAAGGCAAAATTGCGCATGCTTTTGTTTCCTAAATTACTTTGTTCTGTTTTTTTTTTTTTTTTTTTTTTTTTTACAACAAAGATAACAAGCATGTTGGGAACACAGACATATCAGAAGTTGAATAAATGTAAGAAAGCAGAAGTATAAAAGATCAAGAATGAACCTTCAATCACAAGACTAAGTCTATTTGGATGAAACTGAAACTCAGCTATTAAATTCAATATTGTAATGGAGCCATTATGTCAGCTTATAACTCCAATTTGAAACCCTTTTTTTTTTTTTTGGCAGATAGGTCATCTGTCCGGTTTTCTTTATGGGATTGTCATCGGACTTGCAGTTCTTATTACGGGGTATGAACTATGAAAGGCCGGTAAACAGCACTCTTAAAGTATTGCCCCTTCGTCTCTCTTGAGTTTTTTAATTTATGAAATTCTTTTTATTCGTTCCAGGCCTGTGTCAGGAGGATCATTGAATCCTGCAAGGTCATTGGGTCCTGCAATTGTTTCCTGGAACTTCAAGGACATATGGGTATACATTACTGCCCCAACCGTTGGAGCTGTAGCAGGTGCCCTCATGTTTGATCTTTTACGTATTCGACCACGGGCACGTAGCTCCAATTCCTCCCCTGATAATAGTCTACTTGTTCAATCCATAGCCTTCAGGGAGAGCTAAATGGAACTGTTTGGTGATTAACAGAGAACTTATTGTTGTTCCTAAATTAGCAAATTCTCAAGTTGTTGTGAATTAAAAAAATAAAATCTGCAATTTTTGTGGTTAATCTGCATCCTTTTCCTCTAATTGCAGATGAACATCGATTTGATTGTATTTTTTGTGCCATTCATCGAACACAGGTAATGCCACAGGCTAAACATAGGAGTTTTTTCTCAAACCAAACCAATACACTTTTAGATCTTTTTTCCTTAAATGGGTTCTTTTAAACTTAATTCTCAAACACAAGTACTTTTTTTTTTCACATGAGATCTTTTCATACACATCATTTCTTTTTAATTGTTAAAAAATAATTTCATTACATTAAACAACCTTCACCTTCCTTTTATTTTCATTAAAAAAAAAAAAAAAAACTTTAAAATGATATGATCTCTCTTCTTAGATTAAAGAAAAAATAAAAAAAAATAGAAACTTTCATCTTTTTAGATGTTTGTTCTCTCTCTTTCTCTCTTCCCCCCTTTTTTTTTTTTTTTTTTTTTTTTTTCTTTTTCCTTCTCTTTGTATTCACTCTTATAGATTATTCCTCAATTTTGGTTTGCTAGGAGTTGTGGTGAAGTATCGTTTTGCTCTCAGCAGAATGTGATTTGAACTTTTTTTCCTTCCTATTTGGACTTTGAGTCAGAGAATTAGAAGAAAATAGTGAAAAGAGAAGCGAATTAGATCAATATAGTCTGAAAAACGGCTTCACCATAAATATAAGGATTTTGTTTCATTTTGTGAAGTTTTTCAATTTCTGCTAACAATATGTCTAATAATAAACTCCTTAACCTCAAACACCCTTACCAAATAGAGAAATCTCATTGAAAATTTTAACAAAGCACCTTGTGTGTGTGATAATAGACATCTCATTTAAGATCATGTATATAGTATTGTGATTGAAATATATATAATTATGTGTGCATCATCTTTAGCATATTAAAAATGAGTTACAATTGTGAAGGTTATTCAAATTTTCATAAGCAGTAAAGGAAAATGAGAGTTAAAAATTCATATTCTTTTAATTATTTGTGAAATAAGATTTTAATTTTAATTAGATTTTTATTAGTATATTAAGACAAAAAAAATTATAAAAGTGACTGCATTGGAGCTTACATGACATGTAGTATCCTAGATTAGAGAATACCTTTAAAACAATCCTATTTTAGTAATAAAGGTTTAAAACAATCCTACTTTGAAAAAAACTCCAAAACATAGAGCCTTAGATTATTATTATTATTAGCAGTATTATAAATTATGTGTGGGCCATTTTATGGTTGTGATTTGGGCCAGCTTGTTCCTCATCAAACAAACAGAAATATTTCATGAAGTCCCATCAACCAAAGAAATTCTATCATTTCAATTCCGCAAAATGGCCACTTAACCAAAAAAGCGATGTTTACATTGAAAAAATGGACTCATCCAATTGAAAACAAGATTGGTTGGTGGGTCATTAGGTAAATAATTCCTTCCAACAAAATTGGTATGATTTAAGCATTTACCAACCTCCATATATATATATGTGTGCTATAATACTAATTTTGATCACAACCCCACCCCAAATACGAAAGATTGGAAAACCCTCTCTTCCATCGTCCCTTTCAAGTTATATAATAATAGTAATTATTTTCTGGGTTCTGTCTTAAACGTTAATAATGATCTTCGTCATCTTAGGACAGCAGCAGTGTAGTGTAACTAAAGTATAGAAAGGACAGGTATTAATCTCCAAGCGTCTAGAGACAATCCATCGACTTCATACAACCTGAAAACAATAATCTATGAGATCCTCCAAGCCCTTGTGATTGTTTTCGCTTCTTTGTCCTATTTAACCATTCTCCATGAAAGCAGTGACGAAAACAAGCATTAGCTTCTTTAATTTCTACATTTGTTAAAGGAAGCATCGGTTTTATCGTAAAATAGTTTGCTTATTAATTATGATAATTATATATAGATATGGGTACTTTCTGAACTCAAAATAGAGAGATAATCTTGTATAGTGGCAAGGTTGTGATAGAACAAAATGCAATAAGAAGCAGTGTAGAAAAAACAGCAGAAAATTTTGATTTTAACATCTCAAAATAGGTTTAATGACAAAAATTATCTCTAATATATTATGATTTTATTATCAATTTGTATTAATTAAATCTCAAAATATTAATTTTTTGACAAATATAATCCTTATATGTTATCTTTATCGATCAAATGATTGATCTAACCCGACAATCAATCCTTTGACCATTAACATTTGAGTTTTTTTTTTTTAATTTAACCAAAATATGATCTACATAAATTATATAGTGGCTATTCGTTAAATTTCAAAATTAATAACACTTATAAAAAAAAAATTTACAAATAATCAAATAGAAAAAAATAAAAGCACAAATTTTTTTAATCAAATTTTTTTATTAAATTCATACTAACATAACCATTAAATTATCTAGATTAGAAATAAAATAAAATAATTAAATCTAATATTAATTAAATTGTCATTAATGTAAATTTTTAATTTTTTTAATCAAATTTTTATTAAATTTATACTGATATAACTATTAAATTACACATCAACATACCGATCTATCCATTATATGAACATGAATAATTTATTTTATTTATCATCGAGATTTTGTAATTTTTTTATGTAATATATGTAATTTTATTTTTAATTTGATTATCTGTACTTTCAAAAAATAATTTATGAGTTTTTTTAATTTTAAAATATAACAAATAGCTACTATGTAATTTTATGTAAATTATATTTTCACTAAGAACTAATTTTTGGAAAACAAAAATTAAAGTCAACCCTTTGATCATTAAAAATAATATATAAAGATCATATTTATTAAAAATAAATAATAGTTTGAGTTCAAATTAACTCAAATTGGTAATAAATATCTAAAAGTAATAAATCATAATAGTTAAAATTTCAAAAATACGTTTGTTGGTGAAAACTTAATGTCCATAAAGGATGACGTCATTAGGTAGGTCCAATAGGATACAGAACGAAAGTCTTGGAATATTGGTAAAGGGTGGAAAAAAGTATTGACACGTGATGTCTATAAAAAGACAGCAATAATTTTATGTTTTGCGTTCTATCAATTTCTTTCAAAAAGTTGTTTCTTTATCAATCACCTTTGATATTTTACTATTTATCAATACGGTCTTTTTGTTTATTTTAATAGGAAAATTAATGGGATATGTCTTTATATTTTGTAAACTTAAATTTCCCTAAAAAAAAAACTATTGATAGTATTTCAATTAATTCCCAAAAAAAGTATTTTTACATTTATCATTTTGAGATACGTATAAAAATTTGATTTGAAAGCAAATTTACTTAAAAAAGAGTATAACAAATATAATAAATGTCAAACTTAATTAAAAAATACAAAGCTAAATTTACTAAAATATTTGAATAATATTTACAAAAAACATAAGCTAACAAAAAATAAAAGTTCAAATGCACTTTAAAGTGAATTGATAAAAAAAAAAAAATATGCATATATTTCATTTAATTTTATTCTAGAAAAATAAAAACAAAATTTGAAAACGTTTTTCTTATGTTGAAAAAAAAAAAAGATACTACCTAGAATCACAAATAACAAACACCAAAAATAACTTTACTAAAACGTTTTAGGTAACTATCTCAAAGCACAATTAGATTTTTTTCGGACAATACGAATCATTCGTAAAAATTTATAATATAACAAATCAAATATATGTTACACATCATCTAAAGAATACAATAAATTCAACCATTTTATTGTGTCAAATAATTTTACATTAATTGTAAAACTTAAAATTAAAATAAAATATTATCACTATTATCCAAATATACAATATAGAAAGAAAAATAAATAAAATAATATGATTTTTTGATGGCATACCGGAGAAGACAACAAAGATATATATATATAGACACTCCTCTCTCTCTCTCTCTCTATATATATATATAGCCCACAAAAGAACCGTTCGAGATATATTCATGCTATTTTAAAACAGACTTGAAAGCTGTTTCAAAAACAAAGAGGGAGAGGAGTGCAAGGGATACCGTGTGTATTTGTCCAAAACTAAAGTCTCATTTATATAGCCCATAAAAGAATTGTTTGAGGTGCATTCATGCTTTTGAGATACATTCACTTTGTTTTAAAAAAACCTTGAGAGGTGCATTCATGCTATTTTAAAACAGACTTAAAACTCGGTTTGAAAACGAGAGAGGGAGAGGAATGCAAATAATGTTATGTGTATTTATCCGAACTAAAGTCTCATTTATATAGCCTACAAAAGAATCATTTGAGGTGCATTCATGCTTTTTAGATACATTCACTCTATTTTAAAAGAACCATGAGAGGTGGATCATACTTGTTTTAAAACGACTTGAAACTGCTTTGAAAACAGAGAGGGAGAGGAATGCAACTAATGCTATGTGTATTTGTCCGAACTAAAGTCTCATTTATATAGCCCACAAAAGAATCGTTTGAGGTGCATTCATGCTTTTGAGATACATTCACTTTGTTTTAAAAGAACCGTGAGAGGTGCATTCATGCTTGTTTTAAAACGACTTGAAACTGTTTCGAAAACAAAGAGAGAGAGGAGTGCAAAGGATACCGTGTGTATTTGTCCAAAAGTAAAGTCTCATTTATATAGCCTACAAAAGAATCACTTGAGGTGCATTCATGCTTTTGAGATACATTCATTCTATTTTAAAAGAATCGTGAGAGCACTCATGCTTCGTTTTAAAACGACTTGAAAGCTGTTTTGAAAACGAGAGAGGGAGATGAATGCAAATGATGCTATGTGTATTTGTCCAAAACTAAAGTCTCATTTATATAGCCTACAAAAGAACCATTTGATATGCATTCATGTTGTTTTAAAACAACTTAAAACCATTTCGAAAACACACATACATACATACATACATATATATATATTCCAATTTATTACTAAGTAAATTGATAGCATCAAGTTGTCCATTAGGCAAGACGAGAGAATACAAAAAAGAGAGAGAAGCTAATTTTATAGATTGAACCAAAAAAAAAAAAAAATCAAATTGATTTAATTCAAATCAAATCACATCAGCATATTTAGCATGTTGATTTTTTAATTTGTGTTTCGTTTTTAAAATGAACTCTATATATATATATATTGTTAAGTGAAATTAGGATATTTAATGATTTTAATGTTTGAAGTTTTTAAAAAACTTAAGTGAATTTTGTTTTTTTGTTTTTAAAGTGAATTTTCTTTCAAAATAAAATTTTGTGTATATATATATATATATATAAATGAATATTATAAGATTTTGTTTTTTTAGAGTTAATTGATACATTATCTATATATTTTTTGGAGGGAAAATCGAAGTTTATATGACAAAAAGTTATTTTTCGTTGGTTTTGTTAATGAAAATGGACAGAAAAGCTTTACTAATAAATAGTCGAAATGTACTTTTGATTAGAAATTAATAGAACTCATATACTTTAAGAAAATAAAATAAAATTATGTTGTTGTAAATAGTAGAAATTTTCCGTGTTTATATCAATTTAATAAATTAACCTTTTGTTTAACATAAACCTTTTTATATTTATAAAATTTAGTCAGTTAACTTGATTGAATTAAATAGAAATTTTAATACTAGTTAATATTTTAAAAAATGGTTATAACTTCTTTACCAAAATAAAAAATAAAAAATGATTAAAATGTTTATAGAATAAAAAATAATAAATTTTAGGAAAAAAATAATTTTTTTAAAAAATTAATAAATAAAATTTTTTGACAATACATAATATTTACTTTCTATAAATATGTTACTATGGACCCAACTTGTCATCATGCATTCACAACATTTGGACAAAAGAGTATATATGGAAATGGTATCTTCAGTACCATGCCCACCTCTAAGTTGTTTTCAATTTGAAAGCTGCCCCAAGGTCAAAGGAGAGGAAGAGGATGTGTCATGCACGTGAATGTCACTTTGTCTTAATACAATTGATGGGTGGTTTCATTAGTCTTAATCGGTGGTAGTGGTGGTTGTGCTTAACACTTTTTCTTTGGGACAATCTATTTCTCTCCAATAATATCCATCCTTTCTTTTGTCTGAATCCTACCATTATCCACATATCCATCACCACCTGCCCCACCAAGTATCCATTGTAATTCCTTCCTTTCCTATATACTTTATATACTTAGATATTATTCGGTATGCTCAAAAGTTGTATTCTTTTCTTTTATATGAATGGTAAGATTCATAAATTATCCCACAATGAATTCTATTTCTACGTGGAAAGAAGAAATACAACTTTTGATATACTTAATATTTTTTTCATATATTTTTTTCTCTATATTTATTTCAACCTTGCAAAAGAAAGAATATTCACTTTTAAACTATATAAATAGGATGCATTGATTAACCTGAGGAATTGGTTCAAATGATAACGAAAAAGATTTATTCAGCTTAAAGTTTTAAGTTGGAGTTCTATAATTAATCGTTTGGTGAGGTGGTGTATATATATATTCAATTAACTTTATTTACGGTTAAGAATGTGTATGTGTTTGAAAGACAATTAATGTTCCTTTGAATGTACATCCATATTTTAAATAATAAATAAAATATAAGCTGGTTTATATTTCATGTTGACGGAAGGATACTTTTTTATGTTAAATTACAATAATCTCCTAAAGTATCATGAAATTACAAATCTCCTATTTGAATCCAGAATATCTTTAATATTTTTAAAAACGTTAAAGCGGATGATTTAAAATATTAAGAATATTTTAAATAAAAGAAAAGATTTTTTTTATAAAACATTTATACGAGGTTTTTGTAAATTTTTTTTAACTTCTAAATGATTTGTGTAACTTTATAAAACTTTATACATGTTTTTGTAATGAATGGTATTATTCTCACTCCATAATTTGTTAGTTTCACTCTATGATCTACCTTTAATACTTAGATAAACTAAAATTACCCTAAGATTTAATTATATTTTTGTGTCCCATCTTGTCAATATTTTTATAATTGAGTGTGGATCCATTGACACACGATAATTTTTAAATAACTCTTGGAAAAAAATAAGTCCCATATATATATATAGTTGTCAATAGTTAAAAAACTTAAAAATCAACTACCATTAGCAAAATGAATTCGAATTATTTAGACTATCAAAGATTAAAACTCTTTAATTAGACAAAGAAAATGTTTAGATGATGATATCTTAGAAGTGTTTTAAGAAATTGATTAGAAAACTTATCGAGTTCGTTTAATTAATAATAATTGATACTAATTTTTTTAATTAATGTTAACTATTTTATTTTATAAGAGTTCTATAATTTTTTTTTTTTAGTTTTTTATTAATCAATCTGGGCAGGAGTCAGTTTTTGTCATGTAGTAGTAAAAGACTATTGTATGTTAGTGGATTCGACTACATTATTATTTTTCAACTCGGATGATTAAGAGAGCTCAAATAGAAAGGGAAAAAAAATAAATATTGGGCACTCAAATAGAAAAATAATAAAATACGAGATTCTTAAATTGTAGATTTTTCTAAAAAATATTTTGAATTTTTTTTAATAATCCTATTGTGATTACTTTTTTCTACGTGTTAATTAAAAACTATCACGTGACGAGTTCATCTCAAATACATTGATATTTTTCAGTCTCAAATGATTGTGAAAACTCAAATAGAGACAATCAAATAAAAAAAATTTATTGATTGGGTATTGAAACATAAAATAATAATGATAAGTTAGGCACTTGAATTGTAATTTTCTCTTTACTCTTGTTATTAAAGATTTTTTTCTTTGTTTTTAAAATCACCAATGATATATTAATTTCAAAAAGTACAATTTATAACTTGAAATTTTGAAACCTTCAATCTTTATATATTTCTTGTTTTTTGTTTAAATTAATTTTGAATTTTAATAATCACAAAGTAATATTTCAATAAAATATAATTAATAGGATACTGCATACTTACATTAAAGGTAAAGGGTAATGCTGTTTATTAATAGAACTAATAATAGCTAATGAGTTGTAAGTCAAGTAGTGTTAATGCATGTCTTCTTTTCTACAAGTCTAGAATTTGAACCTGTCTTTTATAAAGTTGTAATGAGATTAACAATGCATGGATGAAGCGGGAATAACACGTAATTTACCCAAAAAAAAAAAAAAATTCTTTTTACACAATTTGTCCCGAGATGCCATGCCATCTTATTCCATAAGCCCCAGTAGTCTCCATTGTAGATAGTGCAAGTGTCCCATCTTTATGAAGGGAATCCATATGATTACCAACTAGTTTCCCAATAAAAGACTATAGGAATAATCATGTAAAAACAACATTCATGTCTGAATTCGATTCTCCCAGAAAGAAAAGGGTTTTTGGAATTGATGGGTGCTTTTTTTTTCCTTTGGATTGTTAAATTGATGCTTATTCCTTTTCTTTTTCTTTTTTTTCCGAGCATCATTAAATTCCTTTAGTGCTTCCTGAATTTATTTTGACTAATGATATACATGATATAAAACTACCTTTAATTTTTAGAATAATAGCATTAACATTTTTTGAATATAAAAAGTATACTTAAGCATATTTTGCCGAAGATTTTAGATCATTTTATTTCTTCACAGCGAGAACCAATATCAACATTTTCCATAGTTGATACCAACTTTCTCAAACATACTTAAAAATTACTCCAAAATTTTTTTGTAAATTTCAACAACAATAACATCATGCCTCTAGCACAGCCTAAAAAGAATTTACTCAACAATATCTCCATATCACCCCTCCATTCAAGTCCGCATATTTTATTTTTATTTTTTGAAAAAAAAAACCTCCATTTCACACCTTTTGTTATGCGCAATGCTGGATCCAATTGAGTTTAAAGTGTCTATCAATAGTTATTTGTACTTAAAATTTGTAATTATTAGATAATTTTGAATTTCAAATCTTTTCATCAAATCATGTCACAAAATTAAAGAAAACATCCAATTTCTATTTGTTGCATAAAACAAAGCCATCAACTAGTAATTCATTGTGGGTAATGGCGATTTTATAAAGTTTAGTTAATAAGGTATTTTTTGGTAAATTTTTATATTAGTCGAGATTAAATTTACCAACCATCTCAAACTTAGCACCACTAAAAGATACTTATAGTTAATTATTGTAGATAATGATAATTAAAATTTGATTTTGGCCAAACCAAAGCAATTTTTTTTACCACTAAACCACATCCATTGATGGTGTGGGCATCCATGATTAGAGAAAATATTTATTACAACCAACTACCAATGACTATTCATAAGATAATGTGCTTATTTGATATAGTTGTACTATGGATTCTAAGGCATTATATGGTTAGTTTTCAAAGCAAAGTAATTTTCCAGAAGCTGATTATTTTTTGAATAAGAAAAATCCCTAGTTTTAGGAAGACAAACAATATATTGTGAATTTTTTTTTATAAATCACAAGAGTAGGACTATGCAAATAACAAAATTACTCACATGAATATCATTTAATACAATAATTTTATAAGCCACATAAATGACAAATAAATTATTTATATACTACTTTCACTACTTGTCACATTAGTTGTTATATCTAGTTTGTGTCCCTAAAAAAATTATATACAAAAAATAAGTAAAAAAATTTTTTTAAAAAAAAACTTGTTGCAAAATTTCTATGATTTTTTTTTTTTTTGTAATTTTAAGTATTTTTTTTATAGATTTTCATGATTTTAAAATATATTAGTATTATTATTTATGATTTGTGGATAAGCGACCAAAATAAACAATGAAAAGAAAAAAATAGAGAGAGGTGTAGAGAGAGTTTTTTCTACGGAAAAACAACACAAAAAATCAATTGAAAAAGAATCAAAGAAAAAATGAAGAAGAAAAAAGTAGTTGAAAAAGCTAGAAAAAGAAAAGAGGTAGGGAAAAATTGGAAGAGAATAACGATAATAAGGATCAAAAAAAAGAAAGAGAATAAATCGGGGTGAAATTAAAAATAAAACGAATGAAAAAGAAAGAAGAAAGAAGAAAAAATGCCGGGGTAAAGCTAGGAAAAAAAAAACAAAAGAGTGAGGATTAAAATAAAAAGAAAAAAAATCTAGGGGCAAATTTGAAATAATAAAAAGAACATGGATAAAAAAAGATCACTAATTGGAGGTATAATCACGAACAAAAAAAGGGGGAACTATGCATTAAGTGAAACGATATGTTTTGGATCAATTGAAATGAAAAAAATAAGCCTATCAAGGTGAAACAACATCATTTCATTTTGCAATCTTCCTCTTTTCTTTTCTTCTCGTGTTTTTTTTTCCCTTTTTTCTCTAGCCATGCTCTTATGTCTTCTATCCACCAAACAGACCTCTAAAATCTCTCTCCCTCTCACACTTTATCTCAAAACATGCTAGCAGACACCCATTACACTCCCTCTATCAATGAAACCTATTTTTAGAGCCAAAAGTTCCTCTCTGTACCGTCAAAAATAACTCCATAATACCTTATTCAAATAGTCAAAACTCGTAAAAATCAACTTTTTTCTCTCTTTTTTTCCTTCTCTCTCTTACACTTGTATTAATAGTACAAAAAAAAAAAATTCTTTCACCCAACACGTTCAAAGCAAGAGTTGAGATGCAAAGATAAAATGAATTGAGAATCTTTAGGTGAGGAGAAGAAAAAGAAAATACAAGCATAGATAGGGTAGGAAATAAAAAAAACTTAGTTTTTTCATGGTCTATATAAAGTAGCCCTCGGTTTAGCAGAGAGAGAGGATTTTTAAGGGGAAAAAAAAAAAAAAGCAAGAAAACAAAACAATAGGAAAAAGAGAGAGAGAGTTGAAAATGGGTAGTCCTTGAGGTTTACGAAGTTGTCCGAAACATCGTTGTTACTTTTTTTTTAATCCTTGTTGTGTTCCTTTGATTTTGTTTAGTAGTTATACTATATTCTTTAAGGAATGCATCAATGTGTTAGTGTTATACAATTGTATTACATGTTCTATTGTATTTACTCTCAAGATATTCTTGTAATTGTATATAATAACTATTGGTTTATTATAAATAGAATTCATTGTTGCCATGTTTTGGTATGCGACTTAAAATTCTCTAAATGGTATCAAAGGTGTAAGTCTTTTTTCTTGTGATTTCTCTAGATTTCTTTAATCTCTTCTCATGGTCATCGAATGCACTACCTCTACCTCTACCTCTACCTTTGATATGTTGGCTTCGTTCCTTTAACTCCCGAGATATTTTTAGGATTGCCTTGATTTTTTGGTTCTATAACAACCATCTTGACTCATCCCTCTTCTATTTATCATAACCAAAGCATCTACTTATTAGTTTAGATGCCCTAGATCCAATCTGTTTAGATGGTTTGTACATTATATCATTGCATAATTAATAAAAAAGTATTTCTATTAATTCAAGTTATTTATAACTTGATTGAATTAGATAGAAGTCCATATGATGTTCATTACTTTACCGATTAATCAATAGATATAAGACAAATACCAATGCACTTAAATGAAGTCATTAAATGTCTCAAGTCATAGCATTGTCAAAATTAGATATTAATAATATGCGATGAGACTTGTGTATGCTATGCTACTACTATAGGATAACGAGTAGGAGATCTCACATGTATCGATATTATTATGCCTAAGCAAACACATAGGTGAATGATGTTAGAAAACATATCATTGGGCGTAACTCGTCATGAGAACCCATTAGGTATATTATATAGGAATCTCATATAAGATGGGTACAAGTAGTTTTTTGACTTGAAGTTATCACGGTTATCTCATTAGAGAACTATTGTACATTGACATTCATTACGATTAACTTAGTAAAGAACTATATGTGGGTGATTTGTTGGGTAAATCAAGAATATGAGGAAGAGAGGTGGATAACTAAGATATGATATGTCATTTCTTATATACTAAAGGAGTTATCACATTATACTTCGATGAACATCCGCTAAGAATCCGTAGCGATGGTAGGAGTATACCAATAGAGCATAACCGATTTCTGGAGAGTTAAGACATTCGGAGATCGAAAAAAACTTATGTGATCATAATTGAATAGACACCAAACCAAATTCGAGATCATATTATGATAAATTAACATAAGGATTGAATTGTATGAAAACTATTCTTGTGAAAGGTTATTGTGGATTAAAGAATCCTTCTTGATAATTGAGTAGTCAAAATACATTGTAAGAGGTCAATCTTGATTTATGTATTAAGAGATAAAAGAATTATCTTTTGTTTCTTGATACATTGCCAATATATCTAAAAGCCTAACGAGTCACATGTATTAAGCTTGATATCGACCTAGAGAAAGAAATTATGAAAAAAATGAAAATTGAAATAATTGATTTCAATTCTTTAAGCATTGAGAGAATTTTAGAAAATATTATTTTTTGAAATTCACTAAAGGTAATTTAAAAAATATTTAAAAAATAGTTTTCTAAATTAACCTACCTAAAATACCCGACCCAACTCATTTGTATGATTCGTCTATTGTTGGGTCATTGGGCCTAAGGTGTTGGGCAATAAGCTTAAATAGAAGTCTATAAGGGGTCTTTTAAAAGGATGAACGTTTTTTATAACTTTTGGTAAAAGTTCATTAAAACCCAAATTAAGGTTTTAATAAACATATAAATAGATCAAGCCACCCTCCCTCTCATATATAAGGCTCGCTGAAACCCCCAAATCTAAAAAGTGGAATTTTCTTCATTGTTCAATCAAAGTAGAGCTAGCATTCTCGAATTTCTGCTTCCCATGTCGGTGTCCAAAGCTATATGGATTATCATTAGAGACCGAACCCATAGGCGGTTCCATCCATAACCTCATAACTTCACTTTAAGAGGTAATGAATAAAGTTTCTTATTATTAATTATTTGATTCAACGATGATCCTGTTCGCTATGATCAGAGGAAAATAAAAAACTTTGCTTATTTCTCTCTTCCATAACAATTTTTTCCTTCAATTGGTATTAGAGCTCACGTTGAATCTTTAATTATTTTATAGTTAATTATAATTAATTATGGTTATGAATTCCGTAGTTTTTGATATTTTATGAAAAAAATAATTTTTGGGATTGTTGAACCGTTGTGGTAGCTACTACTGCCAAGCATGGCTAACTTACTACTATGCAACATGATGAATAAAGGGAGGTTTTGTTGTGTAGATGGCCAAGCCAACCTACTACCGAAGCCGAGCCGAGTGTTAGGCATTGGCCAACA